GAATTTTAATGAGATATTTTAAATCACCTGTTATGCAATGTAAACAATTAGTCGTTCCTTTATGTTATAGAACCGATGTTCTGAGAGTTGCACATGACACTCCTTTTGCTGCACATTTAGGTATAGGTAAAACACAGAAAAGAGTTCTTGCACAATTCTATTGGCCTGGTTGTTCCACAGATATTAGGAAATACTGTAGGTCATGTAAAGACTGTCAAATGATGGCGAGAAAGGATGCATCTCAGAAACCTCCTATTCAAAGGGTCTATCTTCCATGTCGTCCTTTCGAAAAAGTTGCTGTCGATCTTGTGGGTCCGCTACCGGTTGTTTCACAAAGAGGATTTAGATACATTTTAACATTTGTAGACATGGCATCACGTTGGGTTGAAGCAGTACCGTTACGTCATATCACTACTGAGTCAGTAGCAGAAGCATTGATGCTTATATTCTCTAGAGTAGGCTTTCCTGAAACAATCCTATCAGATCACGGATCACAATTTATTTCAGAAGCAATGCGCTCTTTTGACAAATTACTTGCCATCTCTCACGTTTTTTCTGCAAGATATCACCCACAATCAAATGGGCTAGTAGAAAATTTAAATGGGAAAATAAAAGCTATGCTAGCCAAAGTTACTAATCAATTTCCAGCAGACTGGGATAAATACCTTCCTGCTGTTTTGTTCGCCTATCGTGAGGTGCCCCAGAGCAGTACAGGTTTCTCACCTTTCGAACTTATATATGGTGCTAATCCCAGAGGTCCACTGTCGCTGTTAAAGGACATATGGATCGGTAAAGGCGATCAAGAAGCGCCTCAAACATATATTAAATTCGTGACGGAGTTACGTAACAAGATAATCACAGGTTGTCAAGTTGCACGGGACAACTTGGAAAATGCTGGTACTCATCAAAGAGAATACGTTAACCGTAACCGGAGACTAATCACTCTCCAGCCTAATGATGATGTATTGATATTTCTGCAAGATAATAATAATTGTTTATCAGCCAAATGGCAGGGTCCTTTTAAAGTTATTAAGAAAATTTCAGATGTGGACTATCTTATTGATGTCAGAGGACATCATAAAGTATACAATCTAAACATGCTTAAAGAGTTTAAGTCTCGCCCTGGTGTTTTGTCTGAAGTGTTAGAAGCAGCTGAGGCACCCGACAATAATTTGCAAGAAGAAGAAATGGAGGCAGCATTCTGCCACGTCATTGACGAAGAGAGCAATGATGTCGAGGTGGACACTGCTCATCAATTGTCTCTACCCGAACTGGTACCCAGAGAAACATGGAGAGACGTGGAAGTCGCGCCCTCGGTTCCACCAGATATGGTGCGTCGTATAAAGCGTATTTTGGCTACATTCGACAAAACATTATCGGACATACCGGGTAGAACGACAGAAGCAGTGCATTCCATTGAATTAATAGATCATAAACCCATCAAAATGAAACCATATGTTATACCTTTTCATTATCGGGATGCCGTGGATAAGGAAATCGATAACATGATTAAGTGGGGTATAATAGAACCGTCGACATCACCCTATGCTTTTCCAATAGTGGTTGTCCGAAAGAAAGATGGAAGCCTTCGGATCTGCATAGATTTCCGAAAATTGAATCGAATCACGGTTGTAGATGCTGAAAATATCCCAAATATGGAAGATATGTTTGTTGCATTGTCGAAGGCTAGGTATTTTACAAAGTTAGATCTTACCAAGGGTTATTGGCAGATTCCCTTAGCCGAGGATTCCAAAAAAATACACCGCGTTTCAGACGAACAAAGGTTTGGTTCACTTCAACTATATGGTCTTCGGGCTTTCCGGAGCACCGGCGACGTTCACCCGCCTCGTACGCAAGTTGTTACAGGGTCGTAATGATGTTATTCATTATCTGGATGACATTCTGCTTTTCCATAATGATTTAGACGAACATATTCGAGGTCTAAAGACATTACTGGAACGCATAAAATTGTTTAATCTGACAGTTAGACCAACTAAAGTGAAGGTCGCTTTCGAGGAGGTCACGTTCCTCGGTCATGTTGTAGGACACGGGGTCCGTAAACCCGAAGCCACCACGGTGGGTAAGATTCTTAACATCCCTATACCAAAAACGAAGAAACAAGTGCGTGCGTTATTGGGTTTATGTAACTTTTATGCCAAATTCATTCCTAACTATTCAACCATTACAGCCGTGTTGTCCTCATTGACGATGAAAGGAATGCCAGCGAAGGTTATCTGGACGAGAGAGTGCGAGGACGCGCTCCAGAGATTACAAAAGGCATTTAATAGTAATCCGTTCTTGTGTTTGCCAGATTTGTCTCTGCCGTTTTATGTATCCACAGATGCGTCTGATGTTGCGATTGGTGGGACGTTGATGCAATCCAGAGAGGGCACCCTACTTCCTGTTGTTTATGCCAGCAGGAAGCTGTCTCCTACTGAATGCCGTTACAGCGTGGGCGAAAGGGAAGCACTAGCCATTTTTTGGGCAATAGGGAAGTTTACCCAATTCCTGTATGGCAGTCACTTCTTTGTCTTGACAGACCATCGTCCACTCGAAGTCTTGAACTCAGCACCCATCAAAAACTCACGCATATTAAGATGGACAATGTTTCTACAGACGTTCAACTTCACAGTTATTTATCGCCCAGGGAAAGAGAATGTCTTAGCCGATTTTTTGTCGCGCACCCCAGAGGCATTGGAAGACGATTGATGTTTATTTGTTCAATTTACATGATATTTAAAATGCATGATGTTATGAAAAATAATTTGGATAACAATAATGTTGTTGATAATAATGCTTAGTGAAGTCAGGAATCTATATTTTGCATGCATTTAGTAATGTATTGACGATATATTGAGGAGTGAGTGTGTGTGTATTCAAGTGTTCTTATTTGCTCTCTCGTACTGGTGCTGTTTGCCGCGAAATGACTCCAGTTTTCCGACCGAGACTACGACAAGCCCTAGTGCTCGGTCGTCCTGGGGAGGGGGGAAAAGCTGTCGCGTGCGAATGTGCACCAGAACGCACCAGTACGGAGTGAGCAAATAAGACGTCAAAACAATACGTAACGTTGTTATGATTTATTGTTGTCAAAGCAGTTGATGTTTATAGTCCGAAGGAGACGGACGTGGGAATCCTTGAGGACGCTTCACCCCGGGATCCCACGGAAGCAAACGTTATATAAAGTTGGATCCTTGAGGACGTTTTACCCCGGGACTCCAAGACCTCAGCAGGAAGCTGGTGAGCACTACATTCTCGGCAGTATGCCGGTATACTTTCATTGCTTAATTCGGACTTGTCCGAGGAGAAAGTAAATCGTCTGGATCTCAAGGTCGGACTGCGACCTATCGTGAGGACATGTCAGTCTATAGATGTACGAGCGAGCCTTGGTTGAACGAGTTGATTATTACGTGCATATGTATTTCTCATTGTATTGCTGATTGTATATGTCAATACAACCGTTGGAACTTAACGCATAGCGTTCGAGCTCTACCTTTTGAAAGCATTGAAGTAACTACTGTTTTACCCCTACTTGGCCTAATTCATCTTGGTACCACACACATCAGCATGAAGCTCTGCACGTCACAATGAAGGACCGCACGTATCACCTACCCAGCCATGATTTGCCCTTTTTCCTGAAGAGCATGTGGTGCAAAGGGTGCTTCAGATCTGAGCTTATCTTGAGGTATGCACAAGCCCTCCAGATCTTGATTCTGTAGTTCATGGTAGAGAAGAAAGTACTTCATTGCTACACAATAGGTGCCTTTTGTGCACCCCAGAATATTGCGCATTGCTTCGTTTTGCACATTTTCAAAGTGGATGATAATGAAGAAATGGGAGGATGCAAAATGAAGAAACAGGAGGAGATGAAGGATGAAAATAAAGAAAAAGGAGGAGGGGGAGGATGCAAAATGAAGAAACAGGAGGGAAGGAAAGATTCAAATAAAGAAACACGAGGAGAGAGAGGATGAAGATGAAGAAACAAATATGAAGTAGTAGAACGAGGTGCCTTCTCCATGACCACCAGCAACATGACGATGGAGGTGATGGTGGTGACATAAGCTATTCTCACGTGTATGTGCTGAATGATTCCATGAGCATGATCCATCGAGATGAGGCAGCCTCCATGCACAGACAGTGGATTGAGTCATTGCAAAACTCTTCTGTACATGCAGTTACCTTCATATTTGTTCCATGGTATGCAGATTTTTTGGCAATGAAAGAATTGATAGACTGGCAGGTTCTGCATTAGCTGCAAATGGCCGGCCTTTGGATCAATTATGCCCTGAGAGGGATCAGACGATCAGAGGATTTTGAAAGAACAAGTCCACATCACTGCTAAGAATATAAGAATTAGGAGTAAAGATCGCCAGGCCTAGCATGAGAGGTACCGGACGCGCACGTAGTCTTGTTAACCAGCACAGGACTAGCACTATTAACTGCTGATGCTGATAAATATGTTGATGGGTAAATCTGAGCACCTATGGATGTGTGCTGATTGCTGTGAGATAATCCATTTCATAGCTAAAAAAGAAGAAGTAAACATCAGAACAGGGAAGATTATAATAAAGAAACAAAGAAGAAGCAGATGGAAGAGGGGTGGGGGATGATAATGAAGAGAAGAAGAAAAAGACATCAATGTAGAGCAGGGCTTTTCAACTAGCTGCCTCCAGGTCGAATCTGGCCCACAAACACCTAGCAACTAGACTGTGGATCATTGCCGAAACAGTGATCTTTCTAGACTGGGGTTAGGGACCTTACCCCGTTTCCACATTTGGGCCCCTGAGTAAATTTAATTGAACAACCCTCATGCAGAGGTTGCATTTCTTGTTTTTCTGCAGTATCCTATTTTCTGCCTTTTATTTTATCACATCCTTTTGCAGTCACTATCATCCTAAAGACATGATTTCCATTGTTATGCATTTACAATACCCAATGCTATTTCAAGCCTAATAACAGCAACCACGTAAGACACATGCTGGTAATTATCATAGTTGCCTTACTGAAACTGCAGCAGCAGGTGTTGTCTGTGATGGTTGCTGACTCTGCTTTGGCTGATTTTGAAATCTTGGATCATCCCATTGTGTCTTCTTATGAGCATGATCAATGAAGAAGCTAAAAAGATATATATATTTATATATAAGACTGACTGGTACCTTTCAGTCTTTCAAGGCAACAGTGCAATACTGCGCTATGAGGAGGTATGGGAATCACAGCCCTTGGTGATGGTGTGTGTATGTTTTGTATGTGTATATGTATGTATGTCTGACAGTCTCCACCCCTTCCCAAATGTGGTATGAATGGTAACCTCATCACGCTTGCCTGCCTAAACAAGAGTTTGTGCCCGATCACAGCTGGCAGGTGTGCAACACAAATAGTAATAAGTGTGTAATCAAGAAAACAATGTTTGCAGTTCCATAACAGACTATTCACAAGCTCTGAATTTATCTCTTGCTGACCTGGCAGTTAATTCACAAAAGAATCATGCGCAATGTTCGTATCGTAGCCACTTTAATCATATACCGTTGGGATTTATTCACTTTAGTCAGGTCTATGCAGCAGACTTGTTTCACAAAATGTCAATAATTAATATTTTTAAGGGGGGAAAGAGGATTTCAATATGCGAAATGAGAACCAAACTAAAATTCAAACAGCGAACTTTTTTAAAATTCATTAAACTATCTCATCATCATGCAGCAAAACAATTAAAAGCTACTGATTACTCTGTGCATTTCAATATTACTTTAATTCTCCGGTATACTATATTTGGCTCTCCTCCGAACTTCTACCCCCACAGCATTGCGGCCTGAAATATCCATTCGGGGCGCAGTCCAATTAAAAATGTGCCGGCTCCGTATAACGAAACAAATGCTCTAACAGGGTCTCAGCGATATGTTACTTGCGGACCTGTTTCTTATTGTTTCTGATTACCTGACAATTCTAAGAGACGCACGCAACACTGCTGATGATAGTAGCAGACGATAATAATAGCGACCGTTGACACTTTCCATTGTCGAAATTTCTGCTGACGAACAAATCGCGGCAAATCTAGGATCGGCTCCAAAAACGAACCAAATGCTCTAAGAGGGTTTCAGCGATTTGTTACTTGCGGACCTGTTTCTGTGACTATGCCTCACCACCGAGTGGTATCCCCCGCGCCGCGGATAGGGGCTAAACTAGATGGCTGGGACTCACAAGCGGCAGCTACCGTATCTCCTGCAACTTCCTCCAATTACTTTGCTCGTGAATCCCAGGTACCTAGTTTAGCTCCCCATCCGCGCGTAGCGGCGCGGGGGATACGCTCGGCGGTGAGTTTAATCGCGTTTTGCGCATGCCGACAAGTCTGACATCTACCGCTGCTAAATCCTCAATCGAAAGAACAGTGTTGCTAATCTACGTGGGAGCGCGTGATCTACCCGCCATATCGCTTTCATCGTCTGTATTGCCTCGAAAGTGTCAACGGTCGCTTTTATGGTCTGCTAGTATTAGCGACTACAGTGTTCGGCAATTTGCGGTCTTTTGGCAATTTCCGTTACCCTGGAAACCGTTCGAAACTTGCTTCGCAAATGTCGGCTGGGGTTTCGGGATGGGTCCTAATCTCTCATGAAGTTTTGCGATTGGTGTGATTTTCACCCACTATAAAAAGCTGAAAACGGCGGGAAGGAACCCGATTAACAGCGCATGTCTACGACAGCCGGACGTCCTCTGTTTTTCTGTTACATCAGTTTGATTGAAAATAGCGATAAGTATTCAGGGTTGGCTTTAGGCTTTACCTGTTACTAGACATGGTAATGCTAGTTATAACTGAATTCTCCGTCCAATTTTACATTTGTATATAAAATTTCTTTCTTGTCAGTGACATTTTTCAGGCAATCGCTGGCTCAGCCAGTGGCTGTGTCTCATTGCCTGCCATCTTGTCCAATGTAAACAAAGCTAAAACGATAAGTGCGCAGTTTGGTTGCACAGAGAAAACTTCTTGTTTCTGGGTCACAAGTTTTAGCAGCTGCTTTTTACATCTTATCTCCACAAAAACCTACATATCTCAGCTCAGAAATGACACACAAGCCTAAATGAGAATGAGGTACCGTTGGAAAGAGATTGTTTACAGCTATCTAACTGTGCTGGTTTTATTGGTGTGAGGGCATTTTAAAAATTTGACGAAAGTACATACTAGTATCGTCTGCAGAAAACGTTCGACATTGTCACCGGTCGCTTTTATCGTCTGCTACTATCGTCTGCACTGTTGCGTCTCGTGACATTGTAAGGTACTCCTAGTTTTGCCGCAATTTGTTCCTCGGCGGGAACTCCAACAAGTCCGTATTTTTAATTGGACTGCGCCCCGAAAGGATATTTTAGGCCGCAATACTCTGCGGGGGTAGAAGTTCAGATATTTTCCCAATAAATAAATTATTTATTAAATATTAATAATTTTTAACAAAAATGCATTAGCAACATTATTTCAACCCATAAAAATAACAAAAGTAAACGCGGAGGAAACAACAGACAGGAAATAAAACATACTAAGCTTTATTTTCTTCATCGTATCTTGCTTCCCAGCCGTGCGGTAAAGGCGGTATCCACTTTACCCCGGGCTTCTTGCTGGCTGCTACTGCTGCACTGAAGGTAGCCATTTATGTTGTTAATGTATTGCTTTAGTCTGGCCAGACTTTTTAGTTCGTTGAGCTAATTTAAACAATGCTATTCTATCCTGTTCAACCCATCTGATTTTATTTAGGATTTTTTTTTTCTATTTTAATATTGGATGTTTATAAATTTATTACTATGATTATTATGTTTTGCAGTATATCAAAACTCATATGCAAATCTTTGTTCCTGTAATGGAAGTGCTAAAGTGCCGCAAACATAACTCGACAGCTTTCCACTTCTATCTTTTCTTTAAAAGGTAATCTTTTTTTATTATTATTTAAAGTCATTGCTAGGGTGGAAGTGCATGTCTAAGCACTAAATAAAACTTTCACTAATTAAAAATACTAAGCTATAATCAGAGCCGTCTTAACAGCATCATGGGCCCTGTGCAAACTAGTGTATTGATGCCCCTACGATACCCACTCGCAGGAATGAAACTTGTTATGGAAGTTCAAACCACTTGACATACACATGTTCGTATGGGGTCCCTATGTTCGCAGTGGGATGGGGTGGGGGGGGGGGCAAATGCCCAGAAGACCCATGCGTCAATTAATACGGCACTGGCTACAATCGCACATAAACAGCCGTACCCTGTCTAGACTTCATGTTACTTTGTAACTGTTAGGGGCTCAAATTAAACCTTACAGTTGAACGGGGTTTCTAAGATTTGTATCTGGGGATTCGCATCCGACTAATGACACTTTGCTCTTTGTATCAAAGGGTGTATGTAAATCACTCAGTGTGCGGACCTAGTGGGGTTCAACTTTTCTTAACTAGACAATTTTAGTCTTATTTGGCATATGGAGCTAACACTTCTTGGATATTATTGAAGCCTCTGTTTCTATGGAAACTTTTTTTTTTTGAGTGAGCGCGCGCGTGTGTGTGTGTGTGTGCGCGTGCACAAGCGCGTGCGTGCCAACTAACTCTTTCGCGGGTTGAGTATTCGGCTAGGAATGGATATAATAGCATTCGGGACACTTCCATAAACGCTTCGATCTTCTCTTCAGCAGTCAGAGAGGGTTCCAGTTCTGATGGTCCAGTAGCCGTTTGCTCTCCTTTCCTCTACATGTAGTGTCGACGAGATCATCTGGTCACTCCCAACTCCCAACTTCGTTCTTTTCAGACTATAACGATCTGTTCGTGTCTCCGCATTGTTCACTTGCTTCCAAAGAGCTTTGACAACATCTAACTTGTCATGCATAAATTCACCACCCATTGATGCAGAACCATCAAGCACAACATCTAACTTGTCATGCATAAATTCACCCCCCCCCCCCCCCCCCCCCCCATTGATGCAGAACCATCAAGTCTGTCTGCTTGTTTATTTCCCAATACTCCTGCATCCTCAATAGATAATATTAAAAGAATGCTAACCACCAGGGACCTCTGAAACGTGGACCGTGCCTGTCTCCGCCATTCTTGGCAAGCTTTGTGAATCGTTTAGAATCACGATATGCTGTGCAGCTGATCCATTCTCAAAGCAGCGGTAAGCTGCTGCAACAACCTCCACCTCTATTCTCAAACTATATGTTGTAGTACCATGCACTATTGTTTGTTGCCCTAAACGTCATCCATTTGCTTTCGCAATAAACCCACCCGCAAGGGAGTAACAGTGGCGCAGTGAGTAGGCGCTTGTCTGTTGGCGTGACGATCTTGGGTTCGAATCCGTATTGGGGCGGATTAAGTCTATTGGCCTAGAGCTCCGGGATCGATCTGCCCTACAGTGGATAGTAAAATGTCATATAAAGTAAAAGTGACCGGCATGAATTAGGCATTCAACCCATCTATTGTCGATTAGCCTTTGTTGTGTTATGATATCACAATCTACGACACTGCACATTGGGCATTCTAATACATGCTCAGTCCTTTAATGCAGCAGCTACCCCAGAATACCTCTACTGATTGTTCCCATGAGATGTTGGTTAAACTCCGCTAAGACCGGTCCCAAGCCCGGCTGTAAAAGGAGAAGGGTCTGGCTGAACCTGAGTGCTTCATGCGTCTCCGGAAGTAGTGGGTAACCGTGAATCAGCCAGACGGCCTGCATGGGGGCCGCAAGGAGGCAGCCCCTCCACCATGCAAAGGCACAACAGGCCAATCACCTGTTTGCCTTAAACTATGACTACAAGTAACTACAGAGAGAAAACCGGACGGATCTTAACGGCGACGAACTGGCATGGCTTACGGACTACGATTTATGGAACATGGAATATAAGAGGCATTAACGGAAAGGAAAACGAGTTAGTAGGGGAGATGAGGAAAGCAAAATTAGGAGTCTTGGCTCTGACTGAAACCAAGAAAAAGGGGCAAGGAATCACAGATCACGATGGAAGTATGCTGCTCTACAGTGGTGTCCCTATGACGGAGATAGCCAAGGGAGGTGTTGGCTGTATTGTGGCCAGGAATCAAGTTAGTAACATCAAGGGATGGAAATTCATCTCTGAGTGAATAATGGTGTTAGATCTGAAAGA